AAAACTAAAGAGGTTCCAACGTCTGTACTAAGAGCATCTACCTGGTTTGTCTTGTTTCTTCTTCTAAATCTGCCCTATCTTCCACAAGGGGAAACCAAGGCTCAGAGAGGTTATGAAATGTACCAGAGGTCACCAAGCTGGCAAGAGCCAGAATTGCAACCCAATTGCAAGTCCAACGTCAGAGTTGGCAGGCTAACTCCTTACTCTCCGTTCAGCTCCAGTGTGAAGGAGCTTTGAAAAGTTCAAATGACCACAGAATCTTTGGCAGTACCAAATCTCTTAGCTGTGCAAGCGCCTACTAAGCGTAAATCGCCAAGAAGTGCTAGGTCAATTAAGAAATAAAAGGAAGGAAGGTCACCTGTATTTTAAATCAGTAAGTAAGTAAATAAGTAAGTGCTAAGACTTCGGGTCCTTCCCTGGAAACACTGGGTGATAGCCAGGACCCTCAGAGGGCATTTTTTGGAGGGAACGGGAACCTCAGGAGTTTTGTTCAAATGAAGACATCCTGACAGCTGGTTCACTTTACTTGCCAACTACTGAGCCTTGGGTCCTGCTTCTGCCAGACCCCAGTGCAGTTTAGAAGATACCAAAAGGAATCCAGAATCTGCCCAGCAGCTTAGAGCTCGGGGGGTTCCACGTGGTATATCTCTTTTAGTCCTTTGCTCCACCATTTCTTGGTCAGTGGAGGGGGAAAAAAACCAGTATTTGTTGAGGACCTGTTAGATGCCAGGTACCTTCTATGTGATATCTCAGTGTGATTCAGCTGCTTCCTGGCTGTGTGATCCTGGGCAAGTCACTTTACCTCTATGAATCTGTTATCTCACCTGCTAAATGAAGGTGAGAACTTTGTTGGCCAGGTCATTTTTTATTTGCAAGGGGCAGGAACCCAACCCAAATTGGCCTAATTAAAAAAGGGTATTGGTCAGTTCACGTTAATGGAAAGTCCAGGGATACTGGCTTCGGGAATGGCTGTATCCAGGTGCTTAACTAGTGGCATCAGCAACCTGCCTATGTCTCTTAGCATAGACTCCCTCAGCAATGGCTATATTCTTTGTAAGATTCTTCCCAAAGGTCCAAAGATGACTCTCTGACCTCTCCAGGTTGACATCGTAATAACTCAGCGCCCCCTGATGAAAAAGAACACTTCTTCCCCAATAATTCCAGAAAAAAAGAAGCCCAAGATGAAACTTGATTGGCCAGTATGAGTCATGTCCACACTACTAAACCTATCTGTGCCCAACTGCCCCAGCCACATGTGGCTGGCTGTCATTCCCCACTTCAAGCCCTTGTACCTGTGCTTACCTCTGCCTGAACACCTCCTCCTGCAGGAGTCCATCCTTCAAGGCCCAGCCCAAATGACTCCTCCTCCATGAAGCCTCACTTTTGTGAGCCTTGGTTTTCCCGACTGTAAACCAGGATTTGAGAGCATCTACCTCTTCAGGTTGATATAAGGAGTAAATGAGACTAGGCAGGCAGAGCAGTTGACACAGTGCCTGGCCTTAAGTAATCAATACATTTTGGCTGTTATTATTATGTCATCGTTAATAGATGTTCAGCTGCTAATTCAAGCTTGTATTTCCCCGTAGTGCCCGACACAGGGCGAGGACTCAATGAGCATTGCATTTTGGGTGGTCCAATTGGGTCCATGGCTTCTCAACCCATCCATCCAACCAACCAGCAAATTGTCCAACCATCTACCCATTCACTTTTCATTTAATGTACCAGAATTTGTGGAGTGCCAACACCATACCAAACTCTGTGCTGGGGAATGGGGCTCAGCTTTGCAAGACAGACACAGTCCCCGCCCTCACAGTGCTGATCTGGGTAGGTGGGGAAGCAGAAAATGAATGAGTGAATAAATAAATAAACAAGATGACTGCAGACTGTGGCAAGTCACCAAGGAGGTAAAACAGTGGGGGAAGAATGAGTAACTGGGGAGGAGTTTTGTGGGGTTTTCATAAGATTTACTTATTTTTAAGTAATCTCTACACCCATCATGGGGCTTGAACTTATAACCCCAAGATCAAGAGTCAAATGCTCCACCAACTGAGCCAACCAGGCACCCCAGGAGGTATTTATTTGAATCAGGTTGTCAGGGACAGCCCCTTTAAGGAGGGAATATGAGGGGTATGAAGAAGCCAGTCACAGAGAAATTTGGAGGGAGAGCATCACAGGTAGAGAAAACAGCAAGTGCAAATGTCCTGAGGCAGGAATGCTCTTGGCATGTTGAGGAGCATATAGATGGCCAGTGTGGCTGGAAGAGAGTGGGAAAGAGCAGAGGAGAGGAGATCTAAGAGGCCGACATGGGGACCAGATCAGGCAAGGCCTTGTAAGCCCTGTAAGAGTTTGGACCTTGTTTTGAGTGCCGTAGGAAGCCACTGGAGAGCTTCAAGAAGGGGAGTACAAGACCTAGTTCCCCTTAGAGAAGGGCATGTGCTTCCATCTGGGAGAAGTTGAAAAGGCTTCTCCAAGGTGCCATTTCTGCCAAGTCCTGAGAGAAGTGAGAAAGCCCACTGTGTGTGCAAGAGGGAGTGGGAAAAGGATTCTCCAGGCCCGAGGAACAGCCAGTGAGAGGTGCTGAGGGCTCTGCTGACTCCCTTTTTATAACAGGAAGACGAGAGGCTCCTGAGGGACCAGACAAGAAAGGTGTTGAAGAAAAAGTGTCTAATGACACTTGTCATAGATGGTAATATGGGGGACTCCATTCAGGACATTGTAGCAGGCACAGGGACCGTGGGAGGAGAGTCTGGGCTTGACTCCCAGGACAGCTGGGGCAAGTGGGAATTTGCTGCTGAGAAGCAGCGTGGCTTATGGGGTTGGAAAATCACTGAGAGGAAACCAGTGGGTTGGGGGATTCTGGCTGACTATCCGAGGGACTCTTCTGAGACACAAGAATGATCGCCCTCATTTTCCAAAGCAGGCCCTTAGCGGGGCATGAAGAAGGGAGTCAGAGGAAGACTGCTGCTAAGAGTATTCCTAAGAACCGTAGCGTGTTCTGCACTTCGCATGTGTGGCTTGAAGAGCCTTGAACTTCCGTCCCGTTCCCTCTCCTGCTTCATTCCCTCTTACTCTTCCCTTCAGTTGCCCTGCTTCAACCATGCTGGCCCCACATGTTCCCACCTCAGGTCCTTTGTGCTTGCTGTTCCCTCTGCCTGGAATGCTTTTCCCACTGATGGTCACAGGGCCAGCTCTTCCTTATTATTCAGGTCTCAGCTCAAAGGTCACCTCCACCGAGAGGCCCTGCCTGACCACCACAGGTGAACACATCTCCTAGTCATTCCCCTTTCCTACAACCGACTTAATTTTTTCGAAGCAATTACCATCACCCAGAATTATCCTATTGCCCTGTTATTGTTCACTGCGTACCCCTTCCCTCTACAAGATGGTCAGCTCCACACAAACTGGGATTTCTGCCTGGTTTGTTCACTGCTGTACCCCGAGCCTAAGATGGCGCCTGGTGCATCATTGAACACGTGGATGGATGGATGGATGGATGGATGGATGGATGGATGGATGGATGGTTGGATGGACAGATGGACAGATGGACGAATGAATGAGGTTAATCCTTATAAAAACCTGACCATGTAGGTATTATTATTCCCTTTTTACAGATGAAGAAACTGAGGTTCAGAGAAGCAAAGTTCCTTGTGTGAACTTACACAGCTGTGCTAAGGGGCACACAGGGAACATTGATTGTCCAGGGGCAGGATTTGAACCCAGGTCTCACTGACTGCTCTTTTCTTCAGTCCCCCGCCAATGAATAATAATAATAGCTCATTATAACAGACCCCACATTAGAATGGTCTTATATGATGCTCACATCTTCCTTCCAGTTGAAAACAAATGAGCAGCAAACATTCCCTGGGCCCCGACTGTATGCTGGGCACCACATGCATGATCGCATGGAATCCTTAATGAAGTAGGAACTGTGGTGATCCCCATTGCACAGGTGAAGAAATTGAGGCTCAGAGAGGTTAAGTAACTTTTCCAAGGGCTCACAGCTGGAAAATCAGGAAGCTGTTGCAGGTCTATGGGGCGCCTGGGTGGCTCAGTCGGTTAAGCATCCAACTCTTGATTTTGACTCAGGTCATGATCTCAGAGTCCTGAAATCATTCTCTCCCCCCACCCGCCTGCCCTAATGTGGGGCTCGATCCCAGGACCCTGAGATCATGACCTGAGCCAAAGGCAGATGCTTAACCAACTGAGCCACACAGGCACCCTAATAAATAAAATATTTTTTAAAATAATAAAATAATTGGGGCACCTGGGTGGCTCAGTCATTAAGCGTCTGCCTTCGGCTCAGGTCATGATCCCAGGGTCCTAGGATCAAGCCCCGCATCAGGCTCCCTGCTCAGCGGGAAGCCTACTTCTCCCTCTCCCACTCCCCTGCTTCTGTTTCCTCTCTCGCTGTCTCTGTCTCTGACAAATAAATAAATAAAATCTTTAAAAAAAATAATAAAATGCAGGCCTAGGTTCCTAACCAATACATTCTAGTGCCTCTCTTCCACTGGACCTAGTTTATTAATTCATTTTTCTATTCATTTGTCATGCTTCTTCCTGTGTTTGATGATGAATGAAGACAGGGTTCACTGTAAAAGACAGGATGAAAATTCATATTATAGAGTCTTCCTGATGACTTTGACCCTTTTAGTTAACTTTTTGTCAGATCTGATGAGCTCATCGTTGCTTTTAACCTCGCGTCGTCACCACTGATAGGCTCACGCCGGAAGTATCCGTTTAGCTGTTATCTTGATGCTTACCTGGGCTGACATTACTAAAGCTACCTCCAAGCTGTTGTTTCTTTACCAGGATCTTTGTAAACCATTTGTCTTTGTCTGCGAGGACTAGTTTGCTTAAAACCAGAGAATAGAATCTACACTCCAACTCAACTAGATGAATTAGTCAGGATACACTAGATTACAGAGGTGAGTAAACAGTAGTGAGGAGTAGTGAGGAAACCACAATCTCGTGACTCTACACGTCAAAGTTTTGTTTCTCACCTGTGTGATTCCCCCTAAGGACCCAGTAAGAGTGCAGCACGGCCCTCTTCCAAGTCGTGGTGACTCAGGATCCACTGTCCTCTCAACACGAGACCTCCATTGTTGCTGAGGAGAGGGAGCTCACACCCACTCACCCTCAGCCCAGAAGCTATCTGCATCATCCCGGTGCACAGCGAGTCACACAGTTCTGCACAGAGGAAATAGAGGCCTCCAGTGTGCCCAGGAAGAAGACGAGAACCAGAGAGGAGTGAGTGCTAGAAATCTCTTCCACACCAGGCATACATACACTGCAGGGCTGCGGTCAAAGATGTGAGGGTTTCTTTGCCAACCCACTGAGTTGGGGTGCCCCCTCCTCCTTCAGGGCACTTCTGTTTCCCCCATGGCTGTCTGAGATACCCAGCGAGCAGGACGCCAGTATTGATTCATGGGCTCAGTGTCGGTAAAACGGGATTGCTTCTTTTCTTTTCATTTAAAAGTAGAAATGCCTGGGATGCCTGGGTGGCTCAGTCAGTTGAGCATCTGCCTTCGGCTCAGGTCATGATCCCAGGGTCCTGGGATCGAGTCCCGCATCGGGCTCCCTGCTCAGCGGGGAGCCTGCTTCTCCCTCTGCCTCTCTCTCTCTATCTCTCATGAATAAATAAATAAAATCTTTAAAAAAAAATAAAAAATAAAAGTAGAAATGCCGGTAATTTCTCTTTTTAAAAATCTGCCCCCAATGCCATTATTTTTTATTACATCGATCACAGTTATTTTTATTTTTGTTATGGTGAGACTACTTAACATATCTACCTTCTTCACATTTTTTAAAAAGATTTTATTTATTTATTTGAGAGAGAGCGAGAGCACGCGGGAGAGAGAGAATGAGCAGCGGGGAGAGGGAGAAGCAGGCTCCCCGCCAAGCAGGGAGCCCGATGTGGGGCTCGATCCCAGGACCCTGAGATCATGACTTGAGCTGAAGGCAGATGCTTAACTGACTGAGCCACCTAGGTGCCCTCTACCCTCTTCACACTTTGAGTGTATTATATGGTATTGGGACTCTGGGCACAGTGTTGGATGGCAGGTCTCTAGGACTTACCCATCAAATGCCAGTCACTTCTTTCTGCTCCTCCCCCAGTACATCATACGGTGCACACATCTGCGTTGGAGACCATCTCCTTAGGCTTCGTGAGCATTTTACAGGTTTCAGAGCACTAACTGCATCCCCATGGGGAGGCAGGCTGTAGATCTCAGACCTCGCTGTCAGGGGAAGCAATGACGCATATCACTTCTGGGCACAGGCAAGCGTGACTTCTTCACGCTATTCCTGCCCCTGCCTTGGCAAGAATGGAAGTCACATATTGAGACGATAGAGCCACCGGTTCCCTGAGTCACGGCTTGGAAAGGAACTATGCTGGAGACCCAGCAGATTCTCAGTGGCCGTTCCATGAGAAAGACAAGAGATGTGAAGACACTGGCCTAAAGATGCCCAGCCAGAATTGGAAAGTAGGTCTCCTGACTACCCATGCATTCACCTCAACGTGAATCTCTAGTGAGACTAAAATGCTATATGAAAAAGATCTGTTGTTAAGCCCCCCAAATGTCTCCTTCTAAATGTATCTTGGACATTAACCAGCAAATCTGGCTGTTATCGAGAATCACAGAGCCATCATTCTGATGTTAGCCAGGGTGGTGTCCAATCCCAACATCCAGACCAACATATTTAGCTTCCTTTAGCACCCCCAGCTGCCCTGGCCAGGCTCTCAAAGACTACCCTCCACACTCCCCATCCCTGCAGATTCAGGGGCAAGGGGACAGATTTGTGGCTCAGCAGAACCCGTGGACACTGTCCTTACCTAACATTTCCTGTGCTCCTTGTTTTTTATTCAATCCACTGCTCCCTGCAGCAGGGATGGACCGACACCATTCATCACTGTTGAGACCAACAGTCCCTTCCTCAGCTCCGCACGCCCTCAGCAAATGTAGGGAATTGACGATCACTCAGGCAGGAAGAACCCTGCTCCAATCAAGTTTCTCACTATCCCCTCCTCCCTCTGCAGGGACCAGAGTCAAGTCTCCATTATCACCACCACCACCCCCACCACCAGAAGCATTGTCCTCAGATGGGCAGGAGGTTGTAATCTCACCAGCTCCCAGAATCCCTGCTTTGACAAGGCTCATGGGAACTTAATTCACCTGTTAGGAGAAGGATGCCCAGCCCAGATTGTGTAGGGAAGAGTCAGGTCACCTGGGGGAGATGGTTCAAGTGAGGACATACGTTAAAAACCATAATTCAATTATCTAATGTGTTCCTTTCTGTTTCACCCCTCAAAAATCCAAAATTTGGGGCACCTGGGTGGCTTAGCCATTAAGCATCTGCCTCCGGCTCAGGTCACGATCCCAGAGTCCTGGGATCAAGCCCCCATTGGGCTCCCTGCTCAGCAGGGAGCCTGCTTTTCCCTCTCCCACTCCCCCTGCTTGTGTTCCCTCTCTTGTTGTCTCTCTCTCTGTCAAATAAATAAATAAAAATTTTTAAAAAACAACATAATTCAGACCCCAGGATTCTGGGATAAAAACAGGTGCTCAAGTGTTAAAACAGAGAAGGGCTTCAGTGCCTAGTAAACATGGATCAAACCCATGCCTTGGCCGCTTCCCTTGTTGTCACTTTGGTTATTGTCTTTCTAAGCCTCAGTTTCCCCAATTATAAAATGAGGGCCAGGGGTACAACACAACCTGCAGGTGGTTTTCAGGATGAAATGAGATTCTTCATTCCATAAATACGTGTTGAGCACCTACTGTATGCTCTGAGGACTCAAGATTGAGAAAATTAGACACAAATCTCTGTCCTCAAGTTGATTACATTCTACAGAGGTGGACATTATTGTAAAATTGCGACTTAGCATTCTGAAGAGAAAGACATGCATTCTGAAAGCCTGCAATTACGGATTTGACCTGATCAAATCAGGGTCAGGGATGGCTTCCCTGAGGAGGTGATGCCTCAGCTGAGCTAAGAAGGATGAGGAGAAACTGACCAGGCAGAGTGAAGGAAAAAGCATTCCAGGCAGCAAGAACAGCATGGGCAAAGGCCCTGTGGCAAGAAGGATCATGAGAACTGTGAGGGACCAAAGGAAGACTAATTCACCTGAAGTGAAAGAGCAAAGGGGAGCCTGGTACAGGATGGTGCTGGAGAGTTCAGGAGAGTATAGACTAAGTGATTGTAACAACAAGACTCCAAAATCCAGTGGCTTAAATAAGACAGATGTTATAAGGTAGACCAGGAGTTGGCAAACTTTTTCACTAAAGGGCCAGGCTAGGGGCTGCGATTAACTTTCATCTCAGATCCAAGCAGCTCTGCCCATCACATCTGCCTACCAGCCAGCAAGAAAAAGGAAACAACAGGCAAGCATCATTTCTGCTCACATTTCATTGGCCAGACCTAGTCACATGGCCCACATGGCCTCATCTCATTGTAGGGGAAGCTGGAAAGCCTGTTTGTGGTGGCCCAGTGGGAGGTGATGGTGGCTTGGGGCAAGGGTGGTAGCTTGCAGGTAGAGAAGGAATGGAAAAGACCAAAAGATGTTTGTGAGCCAGAATTGGCAAGACTTGGTGATGGGTTGGATATGGGGACAAGGATGACCCGTAGGTTTCTGGCTTGTGCAATTAGATGCAGATCTCATCTGGAAAGTTCTTCATATACAGTAGCAAGTCAGTAAGCGGTTGCAGTCTTCAGTATTACGTCAGTGGGTCCCGCATTGCAAACCCAACGCCTACAGCAACCTGACAGATAACGGAAGGAGCGAGGGACCTGTAGCTCCAGGCAATGGTTGCCCTCGGGAATGCAGGTTGAGTGTAGACATCATCTGATTTTCCAAGGGAATGTGAAAATCTGGATTTTTATGTGAAATCTTCCCATTTTGAAACGTGGGCCAATTAAGTAAAAATAAGTTTCTCAGCCTCAAGTCTTCTGATTTATAATGCCTAGGATACCCCCAGCAATGCCACGGCACCTCCTTTCCACCTTTGTGACTCGGTTGCCCTCTGTTGGTGAAGGCCACTCTTGCTGGCTCACCCCAAGGCCTCTGCCTTCATCCTTTGTTGTCCAAGCACATTTATCCCTGGATTCCTGTCCCTTTGTGCACATTTAGCCCTGGATTCCTGTCCCTTTGTGCCCAGGAGCGCCACCTGCAGGTTCCTGACTCCAATTTCTCACCAATTCCCCACTGGTGGCCCCCCACCTCCAGTGGGGAGAGGGGTGCAGACCATCAGTCTGCTCCCAATCCCCTTAATCGGATCTACGCCAGTGACCCTTCTAATTAAAACTCTCCAGCTATAATCTCCCTTTAAAGCCAGGGAAGCGGAAGGACCATAAAAGGAGCAAGAGGGTTGCCGGGTCCGGAAGCTGCCTCCTCTTACGTCCTTGAACATGTCTTCTGGACACCCACAGACCCGAGATCAAGTCCCAGATCTACCTCTTCCAAGTTGTGTGGACCTGGATAACTCACTTCATTCTCTGAGCCTCCCTTCCATTCATTTGCTTGTTCATTCATTTATCATCCATTTAGGGAGCACCTACTCTGTGCCAGGCACTGTTTCAGGACCTACAGACACAGCAGTCCAAGACAGACTCAGCCTGGGTCCTCATGAGCTGACATTCCTTTGCAGGACACAGAGGAGAAAATTCCAGCTCAGCGAGATCAGTGCTCTCATGGGAGAATCTTAGGGGCTGTGGGAATCCAGAGGATGGACACACCTGACCCAGAGCTGGGGGTCAGAGCAGGCTCACTGGAGCAATGGCCCCTGAGTTGGGAGCTGATAGGAATCAGCCAAGAGAAGTGGAGGAGGAAGGGTGCTGAAGGCAGAGGGAACAGCATGGTGAGGATCTTGGGATGTGAGCAACCATGGCAGTGCGGCTTGGGAACTATAAGTGTTTTTACGAGGATTCAGTATGGAATATGCAGTGGGAAATTCAGGAAATAGTCTGGAGAGAGAGAAGAAAGGTAGTCTTAATATAAAAATCCAAATCTCTCTATCATTCTTGATGAGTTCTTCCTGCCGCTCCAACCTCATCCCCTCCAACTATCCCTATACTCAGCCCCACTTACACTGAGCTGCTTTCTGTTGCTTGATTAAGCCAAACTCATTCCCACCTCAGGGCCTTTGCACATGCTATGCCTTCTGCCTGGAATGCTCAGATCTTTGAACAACATACTCCTCATCCTCAAGTCCCAACAACCAGGGCATCTCCTGAAATAGGTCTGCCCTGACTACCCAACCTCATGTGGACACCCCTCACCCCTTGCTACCCTACCGATCTCCCTGGTTTGTTTTTCTCAGTAACATGTAGCACTTAGCACTCTCTGGCATCATCTTGCTCTTTTATGGGTTTCTGTGTTATTTCGTCCACGTCTCTCTCGTCCAGTTCCTTGCAACCACAGAAATGGTCTTTCTTATCCATGCTGCATATCCCCAGCAACTAGCACAGCATTTGGTAAGAAAACGTGCCAAGGGGCGCCTGGGTGGCTCAGTCCTTAAGTGTCTGCCTTCGGCTCAGGTCATGATCTCAGGGTCCTGGGATCGAGCCCCGCATCGGGCTCTCTGCTCCGCGGGAGGCCTGCTTCTCCCTCTCCCACTCCCCCTGCTTGTATTCCCTCTCTCACTGTGTTTCTCTCTCTCTCAAATAAATAAAATCTTTAAAAAAAATAAAATAAGGGGCGCCTGGGTGGCTCAGTCGTTAAGCGTCTGCCTTCGGCTCAGGTCATGATCCCAGGGTCCTGGGATCGAGCCCCGCATCGGGCTCCTTGCTCGGCCGGGAGCCTGCTTCTCCCTCTCCCACTCTCCCTGCTTGTGTTCCCTCTCTCACTGTGTCTCTCTGTCAGATAAATAGTAAAATCTTAAAAAAAAAATAAAGTAAAATAAAAATAAAAAAATAAAATAAAATAAAAACATGTCAACAAAATGCAAAGAATTAGACCTTTATCCGAGAGCTTCTGGAACTATTGCAGGGTTCACAGAAGGGCTATCTGTGGCTTGCTTGGATTTTTGCTTCTCTCCTATGACCTTTCAGTACGGTTGTGAGGATTAAAAGCAATGGGATACTCTTCATGGAAAGCAAAAATTTTATTACTGTATTAAGACTTATTACCATCTAATTCACCCATTTCTGGTGCGCAGCTCACTGAGTTTTTAGTAAATTTGCCAGGTTGTGCCACCATCACCCTAAATCAGTTTTAGAACACTTTTATCACCCCAAAGAGATCCCTCATAACCATTAACAACTGTTAATCCATATTTCCACCCTGGCAGCCACTAATCTGCTTTTGATCTCTAAAGGTTTGCCTTATCTGGACACTTTATGTAAATGGAATACTACAGTATGTGGCCTTTTGTGTCTGGCTTCTTTCACTTCGCATCATGTTTTCAAGGTTCATCCACGTTGTAGCGTGTGTCTGTCCTCCACCCCTTTTTATGGATAAGTAATATTCCATTCTATGGATATACCCGTTTATCTGGTCATCAGCTGATGGACATTTGGGTTGATTCCACTTTTTTATTTGTGGATAAAGCTGCTATGAACATGCTTGTGCATGAAGAGCAATTTCCAAATAAAAGTACATTTATCACAACAAGCCCCGAGTAATGTAAAGAATTGTTGAATTACTGGGGTGCCTGGGTGGCTCAGTTGGTTAAGCGACTGCCTTCGGCTCAGGTCATGATCCTGGAGTCCTGGGATCGAGTCCCGCATCGGGCTCCCTGCTTGGCAGGGAGTCTGCTTCTCCCCCTGACCCTCCCCCGTCTCATGCTCTCTCTCTATCTCATTCTCTCTCAAATGAATAAATTAAAAAAACTTAAAAAAAAAAAAAGAATTGTTGAATTACTATACTGTACACTGAAACTAATATAATACTGTAGGTTAACTCTACTGGAATTAAAATTTAAATTTAAAAAATGATTGGGCGCCTGGGTGGCTCAGTCGTTAAGTGTCTGCCTTCGGCTCAGGTCATGATCCCAGAGTCCTGGGATCAAGCCCCACATCGGGCTCCCTGCTCCGTGGGAAGCCTGCTTCTCCCTCTCCCACTCCCCCTGCTTGTGTTCCTGCTTTCGCTGTGTCTCTCTCTGTCAAATAAATAAATAAATAATCTTTTAAAAATAAATAAATAAAATAAATTTAAAAAATGATTTATGACTTGTTTAAAAAAAAAAAAAAAAAGGGCAGTTTCCAAGCCCTAAACATCTCTCAGCTTGCTAGAGCTTCTGGCGTCCCTATACGGGTATGACCCCAATGGGCTATGTACCCATGAATGAGACCCTTCCCTTTTCTGCCTGTGCCCTTTTATGCACAGATACTCTGTGCCTCGTTCACATTCCTGGAAGAGCAGGGGAGTGTGTGGAGGAAATGATAAACAGTTTGTATTTATAGCTGCTGGAGCCAAAGGTGGGCATCCCCGTGATCAACCACCAGAGCCGACAATTAGGAGGAGGGCCTGGCTCCAGCACCCCTGGATCCCACCCTGGGGACTCCCACCTGCTGCTCTCTTCACCCAGAGGACCAAAGCTTCTGCCCCCATTTGGTGCAGACAGGTGGGTTCCAGGATCCAGAATCTCCCTACAGGGAGGGAATTTGAAGACTGCCTCCTAGTCCCTTGTCCTGGCTTTTGCCTTTGCTCCCCGGGTTCCTGGAGTCCTGCCCAAACCTGATTGGGCTCAGATCCCAGGAAGGCAAAGCTGGAAATGCAGAGGCCCAGACAGGGGTTTGAACAAGGTTCTGGGAGGACTCCAGGTGCTGGCTGGTCCACCCCTGGGGTCCATCCCAGAGACCAGGTCAAAACTGTTCATTTGGGTTTCAGGCTGTTTGTGGGATATCTGCTGCCTTAGCAGGCACTGGGGCCCACAGACCTCAGCAACCAGTCCAGGGGCTGGGAGTGGGCGTGATGATAAATTACCTGGATCATAATTTAATAACGTAACATATATTAAGTAGCTGTTATGTGGCAAGTGCTCAATTACTTCCATCTCCATTCTAGAGATAAAAAATGGAGAAATGGAGACTCAGAGAGGGGAAATGATTTGTCCAAAGCCACACAGCCGGGGATAATAGTGTCAGGACTCCAACCCAGATCCCAAACCAGCTCATAAATAAGTATAAGGCTGCAGAGTAATAACAGCAATAAAAGCTGATCTGAGGGCCTTATGAATTCATTGAACTCTCATTGCAGCCTTGCATTGGACACCTCCACCCACCCCACCCCAAATCTTAAAGATAAGGAAACTGAAGCACAGGGGGTTTAACTCCCACTTGGAAGTTCCCCAGCCAGGAAGAATCGCCCTGACTCTAAAGGCTTCAGCGGGTCTAGGAAAGAAAACAATCTTGTGGGCAGGGCCAGGACGGAGTGCAGAGGGGTGCCTGCGTGCACGGAAGGAGGCCTGAGGTGCTCTGACCCTCCCAAGACAATGCTGAGCAGCAGACTGCCCTCCCTCAGGAGCCAGGGAGGACTCTGCCCCCTTTTCTTCTTTTCTAGGCATACTGGGGCTGGGAGGTGGGGAGGGCAGGGCACATTCTCATTCTCAGGTACAAAGGTGGTGCCTACCTTAGAATAACAAACCCTAAGGACTGTACATAATACATACATAATATTCCGGGTACATAATTCATGAATATCAATTGTGTGGGCCTTCCCTGGAGTTGTCTAGGGGTTAGAAACTGGAGCAGGCTTCCCTTGCCAGGCTCTGGGGGAAATGGGATCTCCCAGCTCTTAAAGGAACAGGCTCCCCAGGAATCTGCTCCTTCTCCTGCAGGCTTCCTCCTAGCCGGAGATCAGTGCCTACCTAGAGAAGCAACCTGCAGAGCTCTGCCCAAGGCCCTGGCTGCCTGCCCCAGAAAATCAGACCCACCTTGTGTCTAGCCCTGTGCTGGTAACCCTACCTGCATAATCTCCTCATCCCCCACGCTATGATTTATGAGGGGCTAGCTCCTGGTACACCCCAGGGTTTCTCAACCTTGGTACTATAGACATTTTGAGACAGATCATTCTTCATCGCAGGCCTGTCCTGTGCACGGTAGGATCCAACAGCATCCCTGGCCTCCACCCACTGGCTGCCAGGAGCATCCCTCCCCCCAAGTCGTGACAACCAAAAATTTCTGTGGCATTTGTCAAATTTTGACCCCTGGGGGTTCAAAATCATCCCCAGTTATGAATGACTGGAATATCCCTATTTCGCAAGTAAGGAAACTGAGGCAAGGGAAGTTTCAATGCCAAGGCCATCCAGCCAGTAAATGGCAGAGCTGGATTCTACCTCTAGAGCCCACACTCCTAACTCGGTGCAGGAGTTCCCAAAGTATGCCGCCGGAATAAGCACGTATTTATTTTAATGAAGATTTAACACATCTTTCCCTAGCACACAAAACCAGCATCTTTGCAAATGTCGTTTCTTAGGACAAGGCTAAAATGGAGAAGGTGAGCAGTGTGTTGTTGTTTTACTACTGAGGGAAGAGTAGTACAAGCAGCAAAAGAACACGTACAATAGGATGTCAGTCCTGAGCGAGACAAAATAGCAATTTGTTAGGGACATATATCTCAGTATTAAAAACTCTCCAGAAAAGAAAAGGGATGAGAAGAAATTGTGGTTACCCCCGGGGTGGAGAAGGACACGCAGGAAATATCAGCATTACTATCTCATACTGTTTCTTCACCTGGGTTGTGGGTTCACAGGCGTTCGCTTGATTAGGGTTTGTAAATATACATAAATTTGATCTACTTTTGTATGTACTGGATATTTCTTTTTATAAAGCGATTACAGAATTTTACTTTTTCAATGAGTGCACACCAAGAATTAAAACTCAAAAGCTTTTGTTTAAAAGACACAGGATTCGTTGGAAACATGTGGCCAGAGAAGTGTGACATTCGGGAACCTGTGGCAGGAAAGGCCCAAAGAGAGGGGTCGGAGTAAAAATGTAGGCTTGACAACCCTGTGTGGTGAGTGGGGATTCATTACAGAAAACGGAAGCCTCTCAAACTCACCCGGGCAGCAAGGGCACTGGCCAACGGGATATAGCAGGCCGTTCCGGGACGGGGCAGGAAGCAAAGACCAGCTGGCCCACTCGGAGGCTGGGCAGGCTAGGCCGATGGGGTGGTGTGGGCTGAGAGACTTCCCCTGTGAGGACAGCTAGCGTTCACCAGACCCTCTGTGTGCACAGCTGGAAGCTCTCCTAAATGCCTTGCACGCATTAATGCATTTACCCCTTGCAGCAGCTCTCTGAGGTAGACATTTATTTACCATCCCATTTTGCAGATGAGGAAAATGAGGCTTAGAGTAAACAACTGGCTCAAGGTAAGGAAGCAGCAGAGCTGGAATTCGAACCCAAAACAGCCTGACACCAGAGCCCAAGCTCTAAATTGCCGCCCCTACACCCTCTTTCAGATCTCCTGTGTCCTCACTAGTGACTCCCCCCACCCCACCCCGCCACCCTGAGGCTGGAATAATTAGCTTTAAATCATTGCAGTCTCTGGGCTTTGGTTTGTACATCTGTACAACAAATGGATTCAAATAAATGATTTTTTTTAGCTCAAACATCCAGGCATTGAGTGGCTGTTGAGATGTGAAAATGCTCTTGAATGTTGAGGAGCATTCTGCGGACGCACGGTGTTAGGATGATCATCCTGTTGGTGGTTGGTAACTAAATCCCACTCTCTTCTCCTTGCAGATCCTTGCCATAATTTCCATCATGTTCATCGTCCTCTCCACCATTGCCCTGTCACTCAACACGCTGCCCGAGCTGCAGAGCCTTGACGAGTTCGGCCAGACCACAGACAACCCCCAGCTGGCCCATGTGGAGGCCGTGTGCATTGCATGGTTCACCATGGAGTACCTGCTGCGGTTCCTCTCCTCACCCAAGAAGTGGAAGTTCTTCAAGGGCCCGCTCAATGCCATTGACTTGTTGGCCATCTTGCCATACTATGTCACCATCTTCCTCACCGAATCCAACAAGAGTGTGCTGCAGTTCCAGAACGTCCGTCGTGTGGTCCAGATCTTCCGCATCATGCGTATCCTCCGCATCCTTAAGCTTGCACGCCACTCCACTGGCCTCCAGTCCTTGGGCTTCACCCTGCGGAGGAGCTACAATGAGCTGGGCTTGCTCATCCTCTTCCTTGCCATGGGCATCATGATCTTCTCCAGCCTTGTCTTCTTTGCTGAGAAGGATGAGGATGACACCAAGTTCAAAAGCATCCCAGCCTCTTTCTGGTGGGCCACCATCACCATGACGACCGTTGGGTATGGAGACATCTACCCCAAGACTCTCCTGGGGAAGATTGTTGGGGGGCTCTGCTGCATTGCAGGGGTCCTGGTGATTGCCCTTCCCATCCCCATCATTGTCAATAACTTCTCTGAGTTCTACAAGGAGCAGAAGAGGCAGGAGAAAGCAATCAAGCGGAGAGAGGCTCTGGAAAGAGCCAAGAGGAATGGCAGCATCGTATCCATGAACATGAAAGATGCTTTTGCCCGGAGCATCGAGATGATGGACATCGTGGTTGAGAAAAATGGAGACAATATGGGTAAGAAGGACAAAGTGCAAGATAATCACTTGTCTCCCAACAAATGGAAATGGACAAAGAGGACACTGTCTGAAACTAGCTCAAGTAAGTCCTTTGAAACCAAGGAGCAGGGATCCCCTGAGAAGGCCAGATCATCTTCTAGTCCTCAGCACCTGAACGTCCAGCAGTTGGAAGACATGTACAATAAGATGGCCAAGACCCAATCTCAACCCATCCTCAATACCAAGGAGTCAACAACACAGAGCAAACCAAAGGAAGAACTTGAAATGGAGAGTATCCCCAGCCCTGTAGCCCCTCTGCCCACGCGTACAGAAGGGGTCATTGACATGCGAAGCATGTCAAGCATTGATAGCTTCATTAGCTGTGCCACAGACTTCCCTGAAGCCACCAGATTCTCCCACAGCCCTTTGGCATCACTTCCCAGCAAGACTGGGGGCAGCATGGCCCCAGAGATGGGCTGGCGGGGAGCTCTGGGTGCCAGTGGTGGTAGATTTGTGGAGGCCAACCCCACCCCTGATGCTAGCCATCGCTCTACCTTCTTCATTGAGAGCCCCAAGAGTTCTCTGAAGACAAACAACCCCCTGAAGCTCCGAGCACTTAAAGTCAACTTCATGGAGGGGGATCCCAGTCCACTAGTCCCCGTTCTGGGGTTGTACCATGACCCTCTTAGGAACCGGGGGGGCGCTGCAGCTGCTGTCGCTGGACTGGAGTGTGCCACACTCTTGGACAGGCCTGTACTGAGTCCAGAGTCCTCCATCTACACCACAGCAAGTGCTAGGACGCCCCCCCGATCACCTGAGAAACACACAGCAATAGCATTCAACTTCGAAGCAGGTGTCCACCAGTACATTGATGCGGACACAGATGATGAGGGGCAGGTGCTCTACAGTGTAGATTCCAGCCCTCCCAAGAGCGTCCACGTGAGCACCAGTCCCAAGTTCAGCGTTGGGACAAGATCAGAGAAGAACCACTTTGAAAGCTCCCCCTTACCCACCTCCCCTAAGTTCTTAAGGCAGAACTGTATTTACTCCACAGAAGCATTGACTGGAAAAGGCCCCAGTGGCCAGGAAAAGTGCAAACTCGAGAACCACATCTCCCCCGACGTCCGCGTGTTGCCGGGAGGAGGAGCCCATGGAAGCACACGGGATCAGAGCATCTGAGCTACCCCACCTGCAACAGAGACTTGTGGCAAGACCCGAGAGGTGTGCCGTTCAGCTTCCCTGCCGCAGAGCTTTTCCGCACGAACTCAGAAAGGCTCTGCAAAGCCCCCAGACAGAAGCGAAACTCCAGGGGAGGCTCCCTAGGGCCTTGAGAGCCATGATAGGTATGACCGAATGAAGTCGGCCAAGCCACAGGATGTGGCGTCTCCTTGTACCAAGTCCACTGCCCTCTTTGGGAGATGACATGGGCAGAACTCACAGCCACCACTACCACATGCTGGACCTAACCAAGGCCACCTCCTCCCCACTCGTCTGTCACGGCTCTCCATCACAGCCTCAGTGGTGGGGGGGGCAGCATCTCGATCCCTCCAGGCTTCAGCTGGAGAAGGATGCCGGAACAAGTGGCTGGGTTGACCAATTTGGTTTTGGGTGTTACCTGGCCACCTGTAGGAACTCCTGTCCATCACCTCCTGGATGGATCCCACTGTTAGAAAGCTACAGAGGATACTCGTGTCATGGGGAAATTTCCGCACCATCAGCCGCGATCCCAGCGCAAAACCCTTACTCAAATGTCTTCATTGACTTCAGTGTTCCATAGTACCTGAGATTTTATTTTGAGATATCATCAGGGTGAGTTGCACCACTTGTACTTGATTCTAATTGCCCCCTGGCAATCTGGGAAGGGTTCAGACGGCAGGCACTCAGCCAACGGTATGAACTGTGAGCGTTGCTTTAGGGTTGTTAGAAGGAAAACACTTTCTGTACATCACCAGTGTAGACTCAAAAGATATGCAAGTGTCAAATATGCAAAAGAAATAGCTTATTCAAAGAGACTGTATGTTACTGAAGAACAGAATAAAATCTGATTTTTTTTTTTTACCTGCAAAAATGAAAGGAAAAAAGAAATCCCCAATTGAAATGCCCGATTCAGACTTTTGAATACTTCCTGCTGCAGCAGGGAAAGCATCTACTATAATAGAAATTCTTTTTTGTTTCCTGTGGTATTCAAGTTTTAAAAAAAAAGTTAAAATAAAAAGCACTTTATGTTTTTCAAAAATAGGTTCTACCAGGGACAGTGTCAACATCTTGCACTTTAAAACAAGCACTATTTCCCGTGGGCCACTTTTCGGGACTATAGTTGGGTTGTTGGTCCGTGCCTGTGTCCGGCCACGGTGGGGGATATTGTGCTGGTATTGCTGTCTGCCATGTCAAGGTCTGTGGGCTCCTTCCCTGCCCCTCTGACGCTTCCCATTAGGTCCCTTGCAAGGAAGGGTACTTGAGCTCTTGAGCGGGGCCTCTCACAGAGTCACGTGTACCAGAAGCATGCACATCTCAGAAGAATACAGTAGACGGTGGGCATTGGGCGTTTACTCTGTTCTCTTTCTTGTCAACCAGCTGTTGGTGTGTTTTCAGTGTCACTGTCTGTACCAAAACTCAGCTCTCCTTCCTGCAGCCATCAATGCAGCCAGTACAGACAAAAGCAATAAGTATTTGTGTGCATTGTGAACGGTTCTGGTGTATTTCTTGGTGTTGGTCTTCCTGTTCTAGTTTGACAACCTGGCGTTGGCCTGCATGAGTTGGGTCCAACAGGATGGAGTTGTTGGCCGTTCCTCGGTTCAGAAACATTGGGTTGAGCCACTGGTTAGCATGATGCCATGCTGTTGGCCCATCTGTCAGTAAAGATGACATGTCGTTGATCCGCCTGTCTTTAGTACAATGGACCGATGTCGTTCTCTTAATACGACACTGATGGGTGATGCCCCACGTCCAGTAGTGTAGGTCTGCCAACCCACAATCCAGTGACAGGCATCCGTCTTCCTGATGGAACCAACACGGCGTGGTTCGCCTGTCCTTCATACAAGGTGTTACTGGTCTGCCTGTTGGTATAATGGCATGAATCCATGCGTCAGTTCACAAATATCACGGAGCCGTTCCGCCTGCCCTCCGAACAGTGGCATGGGGTTGAACCACCTGTCACAGGTATGATGACACGGAGTCATTCCACCGCCCTTACAAGCACCTCTTCTCTGCTGAGCCCATACCTGGTTCATACCGCTTCTCAGCGTCTCCGAGGACTGTGGATCCCTCCAAGAAGGTGCAGTCCTGTTCTTTGCCATGTTGCCCAACAAGACAATGCCGAAGTATCCTGGCACTCCGAGGTATCTTCAGAGCACCCTGGCAGCAACGGCAAAGGGCCCGGGAAGGTGTGCGGTCGTCCTGTGCTGGCGGCATGCCAGAGAGAGGAGGCAGCAGCAGGCCCGAGCCCTTTTCGGGGCACACGGTGCGGGCTGGGGGCCTCCTGAGGAGCGGCCACCGGACAGTCGTCCCTGGGCCATGTCAGCGCACGTGTCTCTTCCTTGTGTTTATCACCATTTCCGTCGGCCGTCAGCACAAACGTGAAAATTCAGGGAAAACAAATGCTTTTTGATAAAAGTAAATAGTTGTGATTTCCGATTCAGATATTTTTAGAGCTGATGCTATCTGTAAAAATTAATAACAATAGAGTCTATTTTACATATCAGGAAAGTGAACATGTTTAAATATAGCCATATATAGCGAGAAGGAACTTACCACCCCTTCTTCAAATCAAGGCATTTCATTTGTTGGTTGAAGCAGATGAGAAGTGTACAGATTGGATATGACTTCTTTCTTTCTTTTAAACTAATAACCAATTGGTGCAACTCTCCTTGTAACCAAAGGCCCTTTCTGCCTTGTGTGGTCCCACAGGACCTGGCCCTCCCTTCCCCATGTAGTTTGTCTGACCTTAAAGTAGCATTTTATTGAGTCACTTTTGAAGGACGAATTCAGAAGTATCATTAAGAACCTACCTTTTCAGGCTTACTAGCCAGAGTCCTATAGAGTTCTTATAGAAACAGAATAATTGAAACTCAGCATATACTATGCTTAGAAAGTATTGCATTTTGTTTTGTTTTTTTTTTCTTTTACTTGTGTATGTATTGTGGGAATATAGCTTTTATCCTGTGCCCAACTCAAAATAGAGTATTGTAAGTTTTCCCAGGCCCCACCTGCCAAAAATGAACATTCCCCGATGTTTAATATGTGTATACTCCTACTATACCTGTGTATATGCACTGGGAAATCTACCTAAGAGTCTCCACTGAGAAGCTGACCTTGACAGATCCTCATAGAGGACAGGAAAGCATGGTTTGGAGGCAAATACCACTTTAACTCGGTGATCCACGTCCCACCCATTCCTGAACCAATGAAAATGGGAAAAAAAAAAAAAAAAAACAAGTCAACCCAAAGAAACCAAACTAGGGGCTGGAGCGGGTGAATGCCTGGTCCCTTTGGTGAATTTGGTGAAACTCGTCAAGAACCCAGCGGACCTTGGCTTCCAACTTCCACCATTATCAGTAAGGGCTAGGGACCAGGTCCCCGTGTGATCGGGGTAGTCTGCGACCTGTGGAGAGAGGTGGGCGAGCTCTGGAGGAGTCGGCTTTTTCACTTTTTTTTTTTTTTTTTTTTAATCTTTGGGTAAAGAAAAACAACAGGACTTCGGTGCAGTAGATTTCTCAGTGCCTTCTTTAGGAATTTTATCTTAAGCACACTCAATGGGGAAAGAAAAAAAGAAGACAGAACATTTGTCTCCATGAAGTCCCTTTCTCTAAAAGCACTGGGGATCGAGAAGGACGAAGACTGGGGAACAGCAAAATTCTGAGGAGGCCTTTCCTTTCAACTCACCCGGCTTGCCCCCGAGTAGTGCTGGTGAAAACAGACTTTGCCAAACTGATTACCAGCTCTCCTCTACCACGTCTTGGTGACTGTAGCTTCACCCCTGCCCTTTCTCCTAATAAGACCCACTCTTCTGAGGAGAAAAGCAACAACAACAACAGAATTCTCTTCTTTAAAACTGTGATGTATTGATGTTTGTAACTATTGTACATTTCTGTCTTGCTCACGGCTGGAGTGTCTAGTCCACGGACAAGGGGAAATTGAAACTTCACCATGGACAAGGGTTCACTAGAACCAGGTCTCTCTCTCTCTCTCTCTCTCTGTCTCACCTCCCTTTCCTTATTTCTCTGCCAACTAGCCCCAAGTAACATGACCCCAGGCTTCAGCCTCCAGTTAGGTTTTTGAATCCAATGAGATTGAAGTGATACGACTCTAGGGCATGATCCTTTGGGAGAGGGAGTCTTTGGGAGATCCTTTTCCAGGGGCAGGAGGAAAGAAGGGGTCAGCTCTGCGGCCCCCGAGGGACAGGGGAGAGCCTCCAGCCCTGAGCCCAAGTTTCCCCGGCTTCCGGTTTCTCACCGCTTATATGACAGCATGCAAATGCTTTCACTCAGCCAGGGGGACCCAAACCAGCCTGGCTATGCCCCCCAAAATAAAAATTACCTCTGCATTTTCTGTTGCCACATTTCTGGCTCTAGAAGTATCCGATGCAGGGCTACATCGTAGGATATCCACATATCTCAGAGTAGTCTATTTTTCTGTTCAGATAAAAAGGATATAGGTGTATGTGTGTGGTTAGCAAATTTGTAATAGGGCCATTCAGTCTCATTGCTTCTTTTGTAATATAGAATAACATCTTAGGAGTTTTATGGTTGGTCATTATCATAGCTGATATTTTCTGGTCTTTTTCATTTCCTCCCATTGCCCGTCGGGTTCTCTTTCTTCCTTTTGGACCTGACTTTCGGGGGGGTGGGGAAAGACTTCGGGCTCTGACTTCCTCATGCAGGCATTTCCTGACACTTGACCTAGAGTCTGTGGACACCGTTACTTTCCTCATTCTGTGTGTTTCTCCTATTTATTGTTCTTAAGATTCCAGGGCACGGGGGCAAGAGTGAGACCAGGAGAAGCAGGGCTACGGATGGCCCTCAGAATCCGAATGGCATGTGGGCTGGTTCAGCTCCTCCTCCCCCACCCCACTGGCATTTTGAAGAGACTGAATTTTCTCATCCCCGGAGATCTTGGGAGGGCAAATCTCACGCAAGCAAACCTCCTGTTGAGGTCCAGAACGCACCCAAGCACCCTCTTGGCTGGCCTGTTGCCATGTCCAGCGACCCACTCCCCTGTAACATCAATTGGATCCGAAGGCCAGAGCATTTTCAGGTTCTTGCGAATCTCAGAGAACATGCTGGGCCTCGGATCTCATCAACTTCTTACCTGTTCCTCATTTTAATCCCCACTTGCAGGATCCTCACACACACACACACAAAAACCACAGTAGACAAGCTTGCAGCCAAACCCTGAGAAGATGTGTCCCCTAGAATGTGCCATTGCATCTCCCCCTCCCTTCCCAGCTGCCTGGCTCCATAGCACCAGAGACTTGTGGCGAGGGCAATGTTTATCCAGCTACCACCTATCCAGGCCCTGGGGAATTTCTGGACTGTCCTGCTTAATTCCACCAGGCAGCTTTCAGCCTCAGGTGGGCAGAGGACATCTCATGAAGCAGGATCTTCAGCAGAAAGTGATTCTCCACTCTTCAACTCATGCAGGAAGATGAAGAAAGGCCAGATGATCTCAGATTGGCCTTCATTTCTAGGTGTTCATACCCCACCTGCCTCACTACCAGCTTCAGGACTCTGGCCTCTGCCCAGATCAGAGTTTTGAGCTGAATCCGGACCCCCATGGCAGTGAACCATCCCTTCGATAAACCCCAAGAGGAAACCAATCCAAGGACGAATGTATTATTCTGGACTATGCCCCTCATCAGTTTTCCCACCCCCAAAATTCCCGGTAATCTGGTTTGAACAAGAGCCAAATAAAACAGACGAGATTTTTTAAACACTTTGCACAAGAACAAAACAAAATTGTCTCCCAGTAGTTTGCCAGGTTTGATGCCCAGACAAGCAAATAACTCTATTCTGTGGCTGGTTTCATCTAGAGAGAGACTGGGAAGTTTGGGTTTCTATCCACTGCCCCTGCTTTTGTCTTAACCTGGAATTTCTCCTGAACATCCCCAAATGCCAACTTAAAGAAGTGGATTCGGAAGGGGCTCTGGTGAATCCAGCGGTCCCTCGTCTTTCTTTCCCCTCCAGTTCTAATTCTCCATTCCTCTCTGCAAAGATCCTGAAAAGATCTTCTAAAGGCTGGCCAGGATGGGGAAAGGGAAGGCTGGCCAGGATGGGGAAAGGGGCCGTTCTCCTGAAGAAGAAACCACATGCCTGCAGTGGTGAAAGCCTCTCTTGCCTGAGAGAAACAAAGTGGTCAATTTCAGCTCAAATTAAAGAAGTGATTCTCATGGGCGGGGCTGCCTCACCATGGAATTCGGTACCTGGTTGGGGGAATGAGCTGCTTAAAAAGAAGCTAGATGATGCACAAAATGGATGTTGCAGAGGGACCCTCACACTGCAGGGCCACTGGACTGAACAACCAGGGAAATCCGCCCCCTCCCCCAGGGAGGTGTGTATGTGGTTTGGACATCTGGGCGCAGGCTCAAGGCATTGAGGCAAAAGCAGGGAGGACAGTGAGCAGGAACTCAAATTCTAGGATTCGGAGTTTTCCGCGGGGGTGCCAGGGAGGGAAGTGGCAGCAGGATACCCTGCTTCCCCTCTGCTTCCTATCTTGGGCAATTTTAATGACCCTGCCAATCTCTCATCTAACCCATCCCCAGTGCCCTCACAGGCACCACACTGGGTGGGATGAGGCTTATGCTACCCTCCCCAGACCAGCCAAGGAACAGTCCCAGCTCTGGCTGGTCATCTCATGGTGCTTCAGTTCTTCTGCCCAGACCCTGTGCCCTCCTAGGCCTGAGGCTTTCTGTACAAGAGATGCAATTATCTTTTATCTACTAGCCAGCCATCAAACTGCCCAGGCAATAGCAAATGGCACCATTCCAAAAGGGCTTTTTTTTTTCCTTCTGGCAAATAAAACAGAAAAATCCCATTCAAGACATTGGAAAAGCCCCACCCAGTGAAGTAAGTCCAGAAGGACCAAAAGAGAGAGGCAGCTGGAATCCAATTTTGCAGCCAAACAAGGCTTCGGCTGCCCAGTCTCCCACATCCATAGCCCCTTCCCGAGTGGGTCTGGATACTGCATCCTCCAAGGAGAGCATTTGACACAAGAGGATTTAAAATCCCCCTCCCCCTAATTGTGTATAGTGGGTTTGGAGGAGGTGGGGCTTCATCCTCAGGGCGACCCCAAGTCCAGGCAGTTGTAGGTGGTTTTATTATGAAGTGAGGCAGAACGATAGGATTGCATGGATAGACTGAGCAGCTACTTTCCCCAAAAACACAGTGAAACAAAAATCCAGTTCCCAAGATCCCCCCTTTGAGGCTCTGTCCTGCAGAAATATCTCAAGTTAGTGGCTACCATGGCATGACATATTCCGGAAAATGAAGGAAACTCCCAATTCTGTCTCATTGAGATGCTCTCAAGGGTCCTGCATGGATCATCCCACACTTCTTGCCTCCCTGAGCTAATCCAGGTTTGGAAAACAAGGAGGGAAGCACAGGAGAAGATGCCCAAGAGATTCAGGCTTCTCCATGGCTTTGGCTTGTGGCCCCCTGGTCTTCACTAGGGTTTTGGGCTCTCCCTTAGATAGGCTTGACATTGAAGCTCCATGTGCCTAATGCGTGGGGAAGAGGAAGATCAGCAGCTGCTGGGCTGGGGGCAGCTGCGCTGTTTGCTCTCCAGACCTATCCAGGCTTCAGTCCAAGGCCAAGGGCTGGCAACATCATTTTATGTGCCAGGAACTCGGGGTTATCCCCCAGTGTATGCCCATGGCACATATTGGGCAACCAACCTGTGTTCTTTTGAGTGAGTGAATGTGTAAATGATTGACTTGTGAGTGAGTGAATACAGGAGTTCATCGGTTCTTACCTGGCTTGAGGTATTGCTAACTGGGAAGGAAGGAGAAATGGGGGACCCCTCCCATTAAAGCCTGTAAGCCCCACCAATGCCATTTGGGCTTTGACTCAGCTGGGGGCCAAGATCATGTCCAAATTTGACAATTGTCTGCCCTAAGGGCCTCAGTCTTCTCAGAGCAACACTTCCAGGGGCCCCACAGGGAGCCCCAGGCTCCTTCCTACTCTCCTATTCTGCATTTTCAGCCTCATGTTCTAGTTTAGCTCACAGAGAAGGGATTTGCTGGGGGCAGGAATTTGGGAGCTGACATCTGGAAACTGGATTGCGTTCCCTGAGCCATAGGAGTCCAGCTGGAAAAGAGGGCCAACCTTCCCTCCAACTTTGAGAGCCAATGGTCTTCCTTTTTTCTGAGCCCCAGTGTCCCCCAAGGTAGCATGTTGCCCCAATTCCATTAGCTCTAAGACCCTCTGTCTCTCCCAGGAACCATGGTGTGAGGCTGAGGCTTTTCTGCCAGCAAAGCCATTCTGATCACCCCACCCATGTTGGGGGCCAAGCCAATCACATTAGCCATAAATGACCAATGTCCTTAGCCACCTTTTCTCGGGGTCGCATTTGTGGGTCCTGTTCATCTCTGGTCAGTTGATGTCTCTAGTCCTTCCTGTAAAAGTGAAAATGAGCATTGTGTGTGTGTATGCACACACACACACACACACACACCACATACACACAAAAACCAAACGACAAAATACCTGTCTTTTTATGCATGTGATGAGATGAAATTGTGACCTCCAGCTGCTGTCCTGTCTTGTAAAATATGTCCAAACGTTCAAGAATTTCTAAGCAAATGGTCCTTTAATGAAGTATGCACAGTTCAATAAAAAGGTATGGAGAAAACGAGCTTGGTGGAGTTTGTATTATTTTCTGGAGGGCACAAGGGAGATGGGGATGTGAAGATCTGCGGGAGAGGCTGAATCGGGGACCTGGAGGGGCAGCACTAGCTTTTTCTCCACCTGAAAGAGAGAGGGTCTGAAAATGTAATGGGCTTGTTACCCCGATATGCAAGCAGTGGTAATGCCCCCCCGTGCTGTGTTCACGGACCAAAGCCCAAATTCTGGTTATTTGGCTGTCATGTCAGCTGTACCTGGGCATTCTTGGCCTCACTACCTCTCTCTCATCAAAATGTCTCATGGTGCCTATGAGAGTCGCACTCACAACTCTGGAGATCCGTCCCCCTTCTCTGCTTCATTGTTCTCCATACCACCACCACCTCTGACACACTCTATTTTATTTATGTATTTTGTTTATTGTTGACCTCCCTTCAATAGAACGTAAATTCCTGCCTCCAAGAGAACATAAATTCAAGACCTGGAAAGCAAAGGGAATAAAGACTAAAAACCCAAAAAAACCCGGAACAGAATATCCAAGGACCATGTGTGTGTCTGTCTGTTTTGCTTTGTTTTTGTTTTTTTAATTTTACCCATACAAATAGTAACATACCGTAAACACGGCTCTGCAGATTGCTTTTGTCATTTCATCGATCTTGAAAATCATTCTGTATTTCTGTATTAATGCATGAAGAGCTTCCTCGTTCTCTCAGGAGCCTGTGTTCTGTCCTATTGTATACAGTAATTGCTAGTCTCCTACAGCTGAGCATTAAGGTTGCTTCCAAACTTTTGTGATAACAAACAGTGCTGAAATGAATGGCCTGTCAGCGGTGCCTGTGGCTCTGCCTCCAAAATAGATCTGGAGTCTGTGCTGCTCGCCCCTGAGCCTCCGCAGCTCAGGGCCACGGCATCGTTGTTACCGCCTCATGATTGCACCGGCCTCCAGACCACGCTCCCCGCTTCCACCCTCGATCGCGTTCAAGCTCTTCTCAGTGCAGTGGCCGGAGGGACCCGGTCAAACTGTCAGTCTGATCATGTCACTTCGCTGTCAAAACGTTCCAGAGGCTTCTCAGCACATTTTAAATAAAATCCAAAGTCCTTGGTGCTGTCTGCAAGGCCATACACCCCCTGGCCCCACCTGTCTCTTTGATTTCACTCCCCACCCCACCCCACCCCACCCCCCGCCCGCCCCGCTCTCCCCTGAGGATGTTTGGCTCCATTGTCGCTGGCCTCCTCACTGTTCCTCAAACATGCCCAAAGTGGACTCACCTGATGATTCTGCCCCTTTCCAGCCCCCTTCCCTGACCCCTCAATCTTCTTGGATCTCCTGTCTTATTACTCTCCCCTTCCCTCACTCCCCTTCAGACACGCTGGCCACCATTCTATTTTCCAATACACCAAGCACACTTCCATCCCAGGGCCTTTGCACTGGCTGTCCCCTATGCCTGGAACATCTTTTCCAGGCTAGCTACATGGCTCATTCCCTCACCACCTTCAGGTGTCATCTTCTCAGCATCCCGTTTATCTGATAATCCTGGTTATAATGGCAACTTCCCCTGCCCACACACACATACCTCTCACAATCTGTCCCCTCCCACTTATTGTTCTCCATCACACCATCTCTGACACACTATATTTTATTGTTTACCTCCCTCCAATAGATCATAAATTCCTCCCTCCAGTAGAGCATAAATTCAAAAACTTAAAAGCAAAGAGAACAAAGACTGAAAGAAACAGAAGATCCAAGGACTGTGGGACAACTATAAAAGGTGTGACATCTGCATAAGGGGACTACCAGAAAGAGAAGAAAGAAAGGAACAGAAGAAATATTTGAAATGATAATGACTGAGAATTTCCAAAATGTAATGTCAGACCAAATCACAGATCCAAGAAGCACCAAGAAACATAAATTTCCCCAAAATAACTCCACCAGGCATGACATTTTCAAACTAGAGAAAAATCAAAGATAAGAAAAAAATCCTGAAAGAATCCAGAGGAAAAAACACCTCACCTATAAAGGACCAAAGATAAGAATTACATCTGACTTCTCAGAAACCATGCAAGCAGGAAGAGAGTGGAATGAAAGATTGCAAGTATTGAGGGGGGGCGGAAAAAACCCCACAAACCTAGAATTCTATACCCTGCAAAATTACCACACAAAAGTGCCAGAGAAATAATGACTTTCTCAGACAAAAATTGAAGGAATTTGTTGCCAGTTGACCTGTATTACAAGAAATGTGAAAAGAGTAACACGTCCTCCAGAGGAAGGCTGCCAATTAACAGATTAAAACGTCTGACACACTGGTGCGAAGAAGAAAAATGAAATTGGGTAAAGAGAGAGAGAGATGGGGCAAAAAAATAGCACCCAATTCACAAGGCTGGCATAAAGATTAAACCAAATGATCCATATAAAGCACCTTGTATAGAGGCAGGCACAGGTAAATGGTAAATAAACGTTGACCACTGGTGTGGTTTCAGTGCTGGATCATGGGGCACACAAGGGTTAGAGACCCTAGGGCACTGCTCCCCTGAAGTTTACAGCATTTCATAAACTGTGAGCTGGGACCCACTTGTGCAGGAGTTCTTAAAATTGGTGTGCCCTGGGCCCCCAGGCAGTCGATGCACCCCATGGACACCTTCTCTGAAAAATAATTTTAAGTGCATGAAATAAGATACATAGGTTTACAAAAGAAACCTATTCTATTGAAATGCAATTATCAAAATATTTTAACTATGTGATGTAATACATGTGCTTCTTTATTAACAAACAATAAGAGCTCACAATGGGTCTAGTAATGACCAAAACGTTGAGGGACGGAAGAGCATTAAATGCTGTTTTAAGGTATCTGCAACAACTATAATAGAATACAAAATAATCTATGACTAGTATTCATGACAAGTACTGCGAATACTACAATGATTTGTTGCCTGTGTGCACAACTGAAGGAAGTGTTACAGGTCAGCTGGAGGTCAGTGAAAATAAAGAGAGGGAGTTCTGTCTCATGCAAGTTTACAGACCCAGATTACAAACCTGCATTACGGAACTTCTCAATTTATTTCACGGGTCATGACTAGTACTTTTTAAATGAAAGAACAATTTGGCTGGAATAGAAATAGAAATATAGAATAGAATAGAATAGAGGGCGCCTGGGTGGCTTAGTCGGTTAAGCGTCTGCCTTCGGCTCAGGTCATGATCCCAGGGTCCTGGGATCGAGTCCCACATCGGGCTCCCTGCTCTGTGGGGAGCCTGCTTCTCCCTCTCCTCCCCACTTGTGCTCTCTATCTCACTATCTCTGTCTCTCTCAAATAAATAAAATCTAAAAAAAAAAAAATTAAAAAAAAAAGAATAGAATGGAATAGAATGCATTGCTCATAATGTGAGTACAGATTCATGCAATTTCCATTTCAATTGTATGTGTTACAGGTCATGAAGCAAAATGTACTTCTTCCTGCAATTCAGAAATAGCCGAGAAGCAAGGACATGGGAGAAAGCAGGCCCATCACAGCCACTGCCACACTGCAAGTGCAAACATCCTTGTCCCTCCCTCCAGGCCCCATCTGCCCTCCTGCCCACACACAAGTACACACACAGGCTCCAAAAAGGCTGTGTTGTCAGGAGTTGCCCAACTGTTTCCCCCCTCCTCGGGGAGAGGAACAGGTGTGGCGATGCCCGTGTCCTGAGCTCATTGCCCGTCTGGGGACATGTCCCTCCTGATGGCCACATGTCCCCAAAGCAAATATTAGGAGAGCTTTTGTGAGGAGCCAGCTGGAGGCGTGTCTGAGGGTGCCAGGCTGCAAAGGTTCAGGGCTAAATAAACTGCCCGAGAGGAGACACTACAGGGGATGAAGGCTGGGCAGGTCATTTTGTGCTTCTCCTGGATGTGTGTGTTCTTACTCCCAATCCTGGATCTGGGCATAAGTTTGGGAGACGACACTGCAATCAGAAAAAGCAAAATTTCTAAGGGAACCTACTCTCTGGTCTCCCGAGCGGAAGGGAGTCTGACACTTGCAGAAGGGAGATGCAGGAACAAAGGACCCACTTGTCAGATGTGTTGGCAATTTCCCCCCTGTGTTAATAAGCAGGAACTGGCTGGAGAGGAAAGATGGGCTTTGAGGGGGTTCGTCAAACTGCAGCTCAGTCTAGTGGTGCCGAAGAGAACACTTGGGGTCTGAAGCACCTAAGTTCAAGTTCTGGCTACAGCACTGCTTTGCTGTGTGACCTAGGGCCAGTCCTTTTCCCTCTCTGGACCTTGGTTTTCTAGTCTGTAAGACAGGAAAATAATAGCCTCCACTTCAAGAGGCTGCTGGAGGGCCTGGAGGAAAAGACGTAAATTGCTTAGCCCAAAGCTTGGCATACAGTGAGCACTCAATAATGGTAGCCCTCACTGTCACTATAATTTTTACTGCCACTGCAACCTGCAGCCTACATCCATTGCTTAATGGAGATCTGTTGTCTAGCTGAGCTCCTACCAATGCCAGAAATCACAGAGAACATGAAATCATGCTAGTTAACATTTACCGAGCATTTACTGCATGGCAGGCCCTGTTCCAAGCCCTTTATGTGATTTGCTAATTAATTCTCAACAACAACCCTATGAAATACAACCTATGAAATTATCATCATGGGTATCATCATAAAATTATCATCACCAACAACCCCGTGAAATGATCATCATCTTTATTTTACAGATGAGGAAATATGTCAGTTATCTATTGCTAAGTAACAAATTATCCCAATGCTTAGTGTCTCAAAACAACAATAAATATTTATTATCTCACACAGTTTCTGTGGCTCAGGAATTTGGGAGTGGCTTAGCTGCATGGCTCTGGAATGGACTCTCTGATGAGGTTGCACTGAAGATGTCGGCCGGACGACCTTCATCTGAAGGCATGACCGGGCCGGAGGGCTGACTTCCAAGATGGCGCCCTCACATAAGTCGGCAGGTTGATGCATAGCTGTTGGCAGGAAGCCTCAGTTCTCCACCACCTGAATTTGTCCATAGGGTTCCTTGAATGTCCTCACATACCACTGAGGGCTTCCCCAGAGTGAACAATCCAACAGAAAAACAGAACTACAATGTGCCCCCCCCATTGTTTTATTGTGACAAAATACACATCACATGAAT